TCTATCTATCTATCTATCTATCTATCTATCTATCTATCTATCTATCTATCTATCTATCTATCTATCTATCTATCTATCTATCTATCTATCTAGCTTACCTATCTATCTATCTATCTATCTATCTATCTATCTATCTATCTATCTATCTATCTATCTATCTATCTATCTATCTATCTATCTTTTATTTGTCATCCATCCATCCGTCCACTCCAGTTCTCCAATCTAGCCCTCTACACCAATCTTGTCCTATACCTATTGAAGCAGAAAGGTTCATGGAGAGGAGGAAGAGCTTGGGGATGGAGGAGAAGAATACCAATAACTGTGGGCTCCTGGGTGCTCTCTGAGCTTGGTTATTTTTTCCCCCAGATGTTTCATGACCCTAGCTAACAACATCAGTGCTAAAGGGAGGGCGTTTGTGGGAATGAGGACCAAGAGGAGGAGAAGGAGAGGCGGTCCCTGATGCTCTCTGAGTTTGGTGGTTTTCTTGCAGTCATTTCATTACAAAACTAGGTAACATCATCAGTGCTACTGTTCTCTTGCAGTGAAAGAGGCTGAGTCTCTGACACAGGAGCGTGTGATGGTGACAGAGGCCATCATGACGTCAATTGGGTAAGCATGTCATATCCTGGCCATATGTTAATGGAAAATTACGATGCTCATAACATTATATTATTTTAATTAGTCCAGTACAATAAGCTTGAGTTCCCAATCCTTCACATTCATGAACTGTTGGGAACCAACACCTAAGTGACAGAGGATCCTTTCTTATATACCCAGATGGGATATAAAATGCACTATTACTGAAGCTTCTTTAAAAACATATTTGCACTAATTTGCTGATTGCAATTATGAGGTCAGCAAAGAAAGAAAAAGACTATGAATAATATTTCTTTCCTCATTTTAGTCAATGTTCTGCATATCTCTATTTGGGTTGACATTGAAAGCCTCACTTGTTCAAAGACTGTATTTTTAAAAAATATTTGATGTTTTTAAATGTTTTTTTAATGAATTCTGGCATGGGATGCTGGAACAACTGTTTGCTTAAACTATCCCTTTACAGACCCTGTGGATTCCTCCCTCTCTCCCTCCCCTTTTCATTTTCTTACTCTTATTCTTCTTTCTTTCCTTCCTTCCTTCCTTGCTCCCTCCCTCTCCCCTCCTTCGTTTCCTTCCTTCCTCCCTTTTTTCTTTTCCTTCCTATTATCTTCCCTCCTTCCTTCCTCTCTTTCCTTCTCACCTCCCTACCTCTCTCATTTCCTTCCACCCTTCCTTTTCTTCCTTCCTCCCTTTTTCATTTTCTTACTCCTTCCTTCCTTGCTCCCTCCCTCCTTCTCCTCCTTCCTTCATTTCCTTCCTTCCTCCCTTTTTCCTTTTCTTATTCCTATTCTCTTCCCTCCTTCCTTCCTTGCCTCCTTCCTTCCTTCATCCCTCCCTTTCCTTCCTTCTTTTGTTCCTTTCTTCCCTCCCTTCTTCCATCCTCCTTCCTTCCTCCCTTTCCTTCTCTCCTCCCTCCCTTCCTTCCTTCCTTCCTTCCTTCCTTCCTTCCTTCCTTCCTTCCTTCCTTCTTCCTTCCTTCCACAATAAGCAATTAAGGCTTACATACAGCCCCACTGCCTTCTGTCTTCTGTGGTCAGGAAAAACGTCTAGAATAAAAACTATATAGGAAAATGAGATTCGTTTTTCCTTTTTTTCAGAGCTCAAGCTTCTGAAGCTAGAAAAGGTAGGGAAAACTATAAAAACTTTATATATGCTAATTTTCAAAAAAAATTCAAGTAACTCTGGTTTCTATTTCACAGAGCCTTTTCTAATAATGATAAATTTCCCATTAAAAACATAAATTTAAAAGTACCCTCTCACACTTCAGCTGCTTTCATTTTGTAATATTAAACAAAATTGATGTTGGAGGTGAAACATCTTTAAAGATCTTTGACCACATTGGAAATGTTAACTTTTCTTGAGTAAGCTTGCTCAGATCTACAGTAGGTCTTTGGAAATTTCAGGTCTGTTCAGAGATGATATTAGAGAATCTCTAAATCTGATCAACAACATAAACCCAATATGGCCTCGGATGTAAACTGAATTGGAACAAGCAGAAGCATTTTTCAGAATCAAATCAATGACTCAAACTTTTTATTTGTAGTCCACCTTTATTATTTTTACAAATAACTCAAGGTGACAAACATATCTAACACACCTTCCTCCTCCTATTTTCCCTACAACAACAACAACAACAACAACAACAACAACAACAACAACAACAACAACCACCACCACCACCCTGTGAGATGGGTTGGGCTGCGAGAGAGAGCGAGATTGGCCCAAAGTTACCAAGCCAGTTTTCATGCCTTTGTGCAATACTATAACACCATCTCCTGATTATTGGCCCATGGTCACCCAAGAGAGTTTCGTGCCTCAGGCGTGATTAGAACTCATTAGCCCAATGTCCTCCAGTTGGTTTTCATGCCTAAGATGGGACTAGAGCTCCCATTCTCCTGATGATTGGCCCAAAATTACCTAGCTTGTTTTGATGCCTAAGACTGGACTTGAACTCCCTGTCTCCTAGTGAGTGGCTTACCTAGCTGACTTTCATGCCGAAACTCACCGTTTCCTGCTGATTGGCCCACAGTCACCTAGCCAGCTTTCAGTGCGTAATGCAGGACTAGAATACACTCTCTTCCATTTTCTAGCCTGATGCCTTCTCCGCTAGATCAAGCATCGTGTTCTTTCTTTTTTTATCAGGGGAGCACATGGAAGGAGAAGCAGTTCGGAGTCAGATTTCTCTAACTGAAGTGGGAACCGAGGAATTTCTGCAGAAACTGACATCTCAGATCACAGAAATTGTATCTGCAAAGATAAGTCAAGGTAATGGAGGTTCGAGTGAACTAAATGCAGGAAAACCCTTGAAAATATTGGGTTTGGGGCTGTCAGTTTGAGACAGGACAATTTGGGAGGGGGAAATTACCTGAGTGAACATGATGATGGGCAGATATAAGGCCAAAGTTGGTTACCTTAGATTTGCAATAGCAATAGCAATAGCAGTAGACTTATATACCGCTTCATAGGCCTTTCAGCCCTCTCTAAGCGGTTTACAGAGAGTCAGCATATTGCCCCC